TTGTGTTTTTCAATTTTTTTTCTTTTTTTTGTGATTGTTCATTAGAATGAAAAGATGGTATATTTCAAAATTTGGATCAAACAAATGGCCATAAGATGGTTTTTTAATATTATTGCATCATATTACTATACAACTGTTGCATGAAATCACTGCCTATATGTAATAGGGTGTTGTTTGTATAGAGCCGAGGCCAGTATTGAGAAATATAGTTTTAATACTAAAAATATTTGTGATAGCCTTAAAATATACTTTTATCTTTAATTATAAAATTTAGAACTTCAAAAATAGTGTAGATGGAGTAGATCTATGAAAACTTAAAAATTAACAATCAAAAAATGCGTTACAAGATACACCATTTTCAAAACTTGAAATCCTTCTCTTTTTTTCTCATGTCCCATGCATCTTGATGTCGAGATGGTCAATTTGAGAGTACTTGGGCATCAAAACAACCTCTTCTAGTGAAATTTTTGAGATGGGCTCTAATTTAATTGTTTAGAGCCTTCAGTCTATATAAACGTTTTCCTTTATAATAAGGGTGAGGTTTCAAGGTGTCAACTTTATATTATTGAAGTAAGGTGCACCTCAAAGCTATGCTGAAAGTGTAGTTTCAGTGCTGCAAAGTCTTGCAATGATATGAAAATCTATTGTTGCTCCTAATTATGAAATTTAAAATTTTAGAAACAACGACAATCAAATAGATCTGCAAACACCTGAAAATCTTGAAAATAGACAGTCCATATAATATGTTAAAAGATGAATTATTTTTAGGACTAGAAATCCTTTTTTTTTATGTCTATGAATCTCGAAGTCGAGATGATCCATTTGAGGGTTTTCCAGCATAAGAACAACCTTCTCTAGTAGTTTTTTAGGTGCACCGTACTCGTACAGTATCAGGTTGACACCCTATATAAACATTTTTCTTATAATAATCAACAATTGCAAAAAAAAAAAATTGCAAAAAACAAAAGAAAACAAAGAATTAGGCCTTCATGTTGCAAATTAAAAAAAATGGGATCTATCCTAGGTACTTGTGGATGATCAATGGAGAAGCAACACTGAACCACATGAATTTCCTCAAAAGTCTTTG